CAATGCCTAGGAGAGAGAAAGGCATGTTAGTCACAGTAGGCTGTGGGATTTCTTGTTCTACTTTTATCAAGAGGGTATGCAGGTTATTTTTCATTTGATTCTTTATCCACCAAGTCAATAATTCACACTAGTGACCTTTGAGTCATATTCCTCCATCTGACCTCCATGTAGAGCTGTGACTCACTTCACAGGAAATGCTTTTTCAATATCCAAATCAAGACAATATGCTACAGAGAATTATGCATGAGGATGGATGAATTTATTTAACTGACCACACTCTTAAAATGAATCCTTTATGCTGCCAGTGACGCACAATAATTTGTAAGCCTTGACAGATGTCACTTCCCTACTGAATTGTGTGTTAAAACGAATCTTTTCCACTTCTTGTTCAATCAGTATCTTTCATGTTTTTACTTCCTATCCCCTTTTTGCTGCCTGTTTGCCACTGTTGCTCCCCTCTGCCTTTGAGCGGCTGCTCTCGAACTATTAAATATTTTGTGCACATGCAGCCTCAATAAAAAAAGCATACACAACAAACTTGTGGTGAGAAGAGGAGGCAGTAACAGAGTGATGTTTGGGCAGATGAAATGAAGGAGAGAAGAAGAGTTTTGTTGCATTTTTGAGGTGATGCCCATTTTGGCAAGTCAAACTGCCTTCTCTGCTCTGTTCTGCTCTGCTCCACTCTGCGTGGGTTGTTGCTGTATAAATAACCCTCTCAGAGAAGATCAGAGAGAAAGAGAAAGGGAGAGGGAGGCAATAACAGCAGAGGAAGCGATGGAAAAAGGGAGAACCGGTAGGAGAGGGGGCATGCATTGGGGAGGCAAGAGCGAAATGGTGAAAGAAAGGGAAGGATGGAGAAGCACAGTTGATCGGAGTGAGATTAGATGTTCGAGAAGAAGAGAAAGTGAAGAGAGAAAAGGGAGGGAGAGGGGAGATTGAGGAGGCTTGTGGAATATTGGAACAGTTGAGAATGAAGCAATTTGAGAGGATGAGAATGTAAGAAGTGTGGGGGAAATGGATGTGACGATGTACAGTATGAACCCTTCAGAGAGAAAGATGGAGTTTGTGTGTGTTCTAATGAGACGACCTGTCTTAGGCAGCACTTGTATGACACCATCACCGTTAGTCACGGAGAAGATGATTAATGGTGCAAAGAGGCTGCAGCGGCTCATCAGTGCCACACAGCAGATCTCTGAATATTTCTCTCACATCAACAACAGCTAATTCCATCAAATCAAGTTATCAGAGGAAACATAAATCTTTGGTTTTTACTCAAGATATGATGGCGAAAGCAAACAACAAGATATTTTAAGTGATATAAAATAATAAAATAATTCCAAATGATTCAGTTGTGTTGCAACGTATTTGTGATATGGTTATAGATGCGGCCACATATTCAGATCTGTTTTCAATTACCATTATGACCTGTGGGATGGTAAAGAAAACAAACCATATGAAACAATTTAATGCTGTTTAAATTATATGCCTTTTTTCAATTTTGCGTTTGTTTTATAATTGGGAATCTGACACACTCCTTTACTTCAGATGGATTTTCTACAAAACTAGATTTGATTACATTCCATCTTTCATTATTCATTTTCAAGTTGAATTGTTGGGGATTTTCCGTCTATCCCTGTAATTTCCGACTTTTAGATTGTGCGACCCTGTTTTTAAAATCACATTTTCCATGGACACTGGAACTAGAGCACAGACAGTGTTTAATTTAGTCTGACAGATCTGAGATAAGCTGTCATTTAGGGGTTCTTCAGCAACACTAATAAATAATATATTTTTTATTTGAACTGTCAGGGTCTGCTAAATGCTAATTTAAAACATTCGATTTCTTTCTGTTCTCACACGGGTCTGTTGCCTGTGTGAACCAAAATTACAAATCTGGATGACATTTCTCAGAAATAATGGTTGAATAGTTTTCATGTACTATAGCCTCCCAAACTTAGTAAATGGCAATCAATAAGGAATTACAAGTGCACTTAACATTTCATTACTGAATTTGAAAATAACCTTTTTATGCAATCATATTTTAGATAAACTATGGGAACATTTTAAACCAAACACAAAAGTCAAATATTTTAGGAATTTTACCACCAGTGTTTGATTGTTTGTCTGGGTAAATAAGCAATATGGAATAAAGTGGACCACCGCAGTTTAATGATGGCTAGAGGTGTTGCAATGCTCGCTGATGGTTACGCAGCCCAGGGCATTGCTCTCCAGACCAGCACTAATCAGCTGTTATTGAAACGAAGCTGGATTCAAAGTAGTCTGAGAAGGGCCTGCATCATGAAGGCCAGCTAATGATGGCCAGCGGTGCTACAAGCCTGACACATCCTTAAAGATTACAAGTAGAAATCAGCACACTGTATAGTCTTACATCAATAGTCTGAAAGGGATTTCCATGAAGGTTATTTTAAGTACTGTTGACATTTCATTAGTCTAGTGCACTTACTTGCTTTTTGGTTACTTGTCTCGTTCTGTCTCTTCCTGCCTAGTCAAGAAATGTTGAATAATCAAGTCAAATATCCTTAATAGTTGAGTAGACACCACTATAATCTCAATAATGGTTCTTCTGTGTATCAGCCAGCCGATTGTCACACCACATGAATGAGGAGGGTACGATTATTTTTTGCCTGAAAAAGCTGTCGCCACTCTTGAAGTTGTTAGTGTTTGAGCAAGTGTGAGTTTTCTTTTTAAAGTCGTGCCATCTTTTCCGGGCACACCAGAAACGATCAGGGCATTTTCCATCAGGGCTACGGGCAGAGATTCTTCATCCTGTTTGAATTATCCGTGAAATTACCTTCAGAGTAGCATTAATCCACTTTGAATAGTGTTATAGTTTGAAGAGCGCGGCTCGGTTCTTCTGCGGAGGCCAATTCTGCTCTTGTAGAAGTAAATACCGGAAGACTGGCACTGAGCAAGGCAATTGCAGGTGCCAAATGGAGCGTTAAGTGCTAGCCATGAGATGTGGGCCTATGGCTCCTGTTGCTGTAATGAGAGCGGCTCGGTCCCAGTCTCACCCGGCTGCTGCTAATTTCATTAATTGAGAGAGTGACCTACATCTGAGGGAGGCTTTGGTGGATCAGCAGAACAGCTGGCAAACCTGCCGAAGGAAAGCGATGAAGGAAGGATGGAGAAAAAGGACGAGAGGGAACAAATGGGGGAGAGAGACGGGGATAGTCTGACTGATCATACTGTTTTAATTAACTTTCTGAAGCGTCACAACCGCTCATATTGTCCTTTTCTCTTTCATTTCAATTTTTGTCCAAATGTCCTTGTTTACGCACATGGATTTTTTGACCCGAGTGTTCCATTAAAGTGAGCTTTTAACCGTGATGGAAAAGGAAAAAGTTACACAGATAAAAAGAAGAGGCGGAGGGACATGAGAAGAGGAGCGTTAGCAGTGACATCATGCTTTTAGAGCAGAGGCCAGCCCTCGGGCCAGCGCTGAATACACTTCTAACAGTCTTGTGTACTTCCCCAAGACTGAATTATTCAACACACTCCTGATGGAGAGACTGACTTTGACTGTGTGTGTGTGTGTCTGCAGGTCTGCATGAAGCGTTGCATGCAGGCATGAACGTAAGTGCATGAGTTTGCCTAGAGAGCAAGAAGAATAGAAGTTGTGTGTGCATGTGTCTGACTTGAACTTTTCTTTATTTGGTGCTGGAGAGAGTGTAGGAGAGGAAGGCTGCTTGGAGTCGCTGAATGGGTTTTTGATGTGTGGGCGGCTGCTCAGTTTACGTGCACACACACGTCTGCGAAGTCTGTTGAAGTAAATGTGCTTTTCCTGTGTTCAGCTTTTCTTTGGTACACCCTTCAAAAATCAAAAAAGTGTTCAGTCGATTCCCTCTAACATGTGAGTCGCACAAGACCGTGTCGGCGTTCTTTCCCCAAAACACACACGTGCACAAATATAACATGTATGTGCTGCCAAAATCAGAGAAAAGACACACATGTGCACGTTGAAAAACGTGGAAGAATTGGCCACACAAAGAAGAACTGCAGCTGTTAAGCTGTGATATGGAGTGAAGGAGATGGTGTGTGTGTGTGTGTGAGTGTGTGTGCGTGTATGGACACTGAGTGTTGGGGTTTGATCCTGTGCTAATGATCTCCCAGTGGCTCAAACTTCTGTAAAGTATGTTGAGCAGAAGGAAAGAGGGAGGAAAATGGTGGAGGACTGGAGAATGGAGGGAGAGGAGAACCTTGCCCGATCGACATAATCATCATAGCTGTCAACCCTAATCCTCCCATACGCGCTCAATTTAAGAGTAACCCTGCTCGTCTCTAGTACCATACACCTCGGGATGTGCTTAGTTCTTTACTCAAACAAGAGCAGCCGCGTTTGCAAAGTCTGCGTCAAGAGCTGCAGCTTCAAACTGGTTGGTGACAGAAGGATGGAAGGAGAGAAGGATGAATAGACAGATGGATATAAAGAGCTGGCATGTGATGTATGTCATACTCGCACTCCAGTTATGCACTTAAGGAAACGTCAGCCGCAGACAGTCAAGATATTCTAACTGAATTCTTGCTCTTGTTTCTTTTTATTGAGCGTCACATGGAGGGGCTTTCTAGCATATCTCTCTCCCTCCTTCATTCTATCTGTCACTCTTCCTCTGCCGCCTTCCTTCCTCCCGCATTCCCTGTCAACTCGCAGCTCATCTTCCTGCTTACACGGACTGTAATGCACTTTTGTTTTCTGAAGGTGTTAGCACTTCCTCTACTTCCCTCTACTCTCCACGTCTTGCCTCTCATCAGTTCCCCCTCCCCATCTGGAAAAGATGTCTCTCACTAATAGGAACCCCGGTAAATTAGCCCTTCCATCCTTCTATCGCTCCTGTCTGCTCCCTTCTTCACTAATCTCTCTGTCCAGGCGTGAGCTGGCCAATACAGTGGACCTTTTCACACCCACAGATACGGACATAGACAGAAATACTTCTGAATGCAGATTTGCATTTTTTCGTATGTTTCTTTCTGTTTGTCTCCAGGTTAGGTACTGGCTAATAGGGCGTAGTAGGTAATGGCAGCCATAGCCTATTATCTCTGCTCTGTTGTCTAATAGCCACTGGCTTTAAGCATCTGCCATGTAGCAGCTCAAACTCCCTCAATGAACACTGAACAGCATTGCGAATAGACTAATAAGCACACAGACATTAACACGTGTACAGCTAAAGATGCACAGCAGAAATGCTGCACACACTGCCAAAAGTCATTTGTGCACATGCAGTATATGTGTGTGGGTGTATGTGGAAGTATTGTTTGTGCACATGAAGTTTGTACCACATCTAACACTCCATGCCCCGGCATTCAGTTCCCTCTCTTCTCCTCGGGGAGCTATGCCTGTCTTTAATTAGTAAAGGAAATAGATTTACTTTTCTTATCTTTGGCACATTTTCTGCATGTGTGTCCACACAAAAACACATAGGCCTACTCACACTTATCCAGTGTTGTGGAATGCCAAAGTGGGATGCAAATATATTTGATGTCCAGGAGCCTGTAAGGGAAAAAAAACTTGCATTGATTTCCCATCCTGACAGTTAGAGCAAATGGCTATTTAAGTACAACTCCATTTACCTTTTATCTTCGGTAAGAGACCAGTAGTATGACATTATAAGAAGTGACATGGAGACAAACCTCAAGTTGGCTTGACAAGGGGAGGACTAATGTGTGTTTGCCTGTTGCTGATTTAACTAAATAAAGCAGCCATAATTTTTTGTGTTTGTTCTTCAAATAGTGAGCGCTTGAGCACATGTTCAGTTGTGTAGAGTGGGGTGTTTTTGGAACAAAAAGGCTTACACAGACCTTAGTAAGGCTTATATATAATGAATGAATCCCCTTTAGCTACCGTTTTTCTTTCCTCTGCAGATTTAAGGGTTTTGGTTACCTCCTCCTTCCCCTGCAAAAAAAAAAATCCCGCAAAACATTTTCACTTTTCACCAGAAACTGCCCCATGCCTGGCTCTCATGCCCTCTGGTTGACATCTTTTAAACTTCAACTGCAGTTTATAGTTACCAAACTGCTTCACCTATCAGATGAAAGTTTGAGCCAGTGTCTGTTGAACCAAAAAAACAAGGTAAACTAACGTTTTACTATTCAGCATGGCCAGCGGCTTTTTCTCCAACAGCAAAAAGATCAAACCTCTGTGAGATGTCTTATTAATCGCCTGGCTTGTGGTGTTCCTACACCAACCAGATCTGTTTCCACTGCAGTGACACAACACAAGTGCTCTGACCCCAAGCCTGACATGCAATCTTGTTGTCATACTGTACCTGCGGCACTTGGCCCGCTCACCACAGTCCAGCGCGGACGCTGAGGTAGTCAGTCGGGATGAACTGACTCACAGCTTACTGCCATTTTTATATCGAGCCTAAGGTGTCTGAAGTCCGACAGAGTCACCATCAGTGGGCTGGGAGAGAAAATGAGAGACAGGGATTTTTTTTTTTTACACCCAAAGGCACTACGGCTATAAATATCAAACCGACAATTCTTTGATTTGCCAATGAAGGCTGCCAGGATGCAGAGTCTTGATCAGTTCTTCAGCTTTTTAAATTCATTCACCGACGTGGGTAGAAAAAAACGGAGGGAGGAATACGGCTGGCTTTGTCATTTATTTCCCTTGTAGGGGGAGAAAATAACATTAAAATCTCATCCTTTTTCAAGTGCTATAAGTCAAAGAGTTATTATTACTCGGGCGGCATTGGAAGCACACAGAAACATGTCACATAGGGACACACAGCTCTTTCTTTTTCCTCCTCACATATACGGACCGGGCAGATACTTCAGTTTTAATAACTCAGAGGCCTCTCAGTACACTGGCGGATCCGGCTGTAATCTCCCCATAACAGGTGTTGTGATTAGCCTCAGCCGTGAGCAGCATTCTGACACTTGGATAAGCAGGACAAACCAGCACAGACCCATTGGCTACCAGAGACAGATTCAAGCGACAGCACTTGGCAAACACACTTCAGCTCTCCTGTACACTGTGCTCTGTTGAAGTTCTGCGGGAAATTGATTTTCCCTTCCTCCACCAAATAGTCGTGTCATTTCTTTACAATATTCTAGTTGACTCTTTGCATGCTGATGCAGCAACATATGTGATAGAGTCAGCACTGCAGAGTGGTTCTTGATTTATGGAGGACAGCTGATGGATTATTCCTGTTTAAACAGAATACTTTAAAGGAAACTTAGAGCCAAGACCTCCTGTGTCTTTAGCACCAGTCAATGGATGACCATACCAATTTAGGATGGGTTTTAACAAGGTTAGTTATCTGATCGTCATTAAACATCCAAAAGACTTCCCTTTCAAAGAATCTGCAGTAAACAAAAGAAACAACATCTCTGTCTGCTTTGCGGTTTTGCACCCTTAGAAATAACATTCATCCTTTGAATATCGGCACTGAAAAAGGTATGTTAATTAGATCAAAATGTGGTGAGTGTGTCATGTTTTCCCAGTCTTAGCCCACTTTTCCAGTCCCAGATGTTTGTGTCTGCATCAGTGTTTTTTTGTTCCTCTCTTTTTACCTTTGAAGTATATGTTATACCCAATTTTAACAATAAAAATCTTGTGTACAATATGTTTAATTGTATTCTTGGTTTCAGATCGTTTAATTTAATGAGTTGATTTAAACTTCATCCTTGTTGTTACTTACCCATAACATGCCAATTATATAAAGTGTTAATGTGAATTATTATAAATAATACCAAATTAAATTACTTTTGCTTAATTAAAGCTTTTAGTTGACAGTCACAGCATTGTTCAACTAAACCAATAGCTTCACATTTTGTATTATATACACTAGTACTGATTTTAATTGTATTACATTTAATCTGATTATAAAATCCTTGAATTTAACTGTATATTTGAAGTTCCTTTAGATGACATTTGTCGTGATTTGAAGCTATAGAAATTTAATTGAAGAAAATATATCTAATGTTAACTGTGGTGTATAGTAGAGTTGCCTTACTTTGTTCATTCCCTGTGTCTTTAATTCAGTCTTTTTAATAATCTCATTGTACTGTAGCTCTGTTTTTATCTCGCCAAAACCTGTTGTCAGGCAGAAAATACATTTCAAAGCTGTGATGGATGATATCTTGTTCAAGGCAGCAATGTATCCGCAAGCTCTTTTTAATGGACTTTTTGAAAACAAATGTGAGTTTATGACTTATCTTACTTTTTAAAGTAAACCTGCCATAGAACAGAGCACATTAGTCTGAGTTATTTGTTCTTATGGAGAATCATGGAACGAAGAGATCAAATTACACCAAAATACCTTTTTTTTAAATATCAAGGCAGCACATCTCAGAATACAGATGAAGAATGAGGTGCAAGGTGCTTTCTTATGACAGCTATGATCTGAGTTCACATCTTCATTCTTTCCAGAAGATTATTCAATTTGAGAAACCTGAAAAGGATTTGTCAAGTTAAATAAACTAAACATTAGACATAGGTTTTAATCTAAAAAATTGTCAAACTTCAGGTTGAAAATATTTAGATCTGCACATTAAAGCATAAATAAGGACAAAAAGAATGCATTTGATACCAAATAAACTTTTAGTTACTGTGATAGCCTAAATACAAACTTGTTTGCAAGAATGTGCAGGAACAACGTTGGGTCCATAGACAAACCTCTTCATTTGCCATGATTAGTCGAATAAATTCTAACCCCGATTTACCAACATATGCCTTAAACTGGAAGCATGGAGCGTAAATTCATACGCATCCAATCATTCAAAATGTACAGAAAAATTGTCCAAACTTTTGACTGACGGTGTGCATAAAATTGTTTAGAATCTTTCCATGCAAGTGCTATGTTAGTGTTAGACAATGTGTTTCAAGCATCTGGGGACATCTGGACTCCATGCTTATAAATTCTGTGTTTTAACGTAATGCTGTGAGGTTTGTCAGTCCAAGGCTTTGCTGCTGTCCATTACATGCTTGTCTGAGTTAGTGATGAGACGTAATTCCTCACTCGTCTGAGCCTGGCCATGCCATGCAGTGCGTTAAATGCTATTCTATGCATGCCTTGGGAGTGGGAGACTGTTAAATACTACAGTAGACTTAGCATTGGGACTTAACCCACGTTGAATACTACCGTCGTCTTTTTTTGAATTAGGAGCCTTCAAGCTAAATGCCATAGTTCTTTGTCAATCCAGGAAATGTAAAGAGCTTCTGTCCGGTTAGTCAGCGTGTGCTTTGGGACATGTCTCTGTGTTTTAAAGCTAAGAACCTTTCAGTGCTTAAAAGGCTGCTCTTCGTTAGTTCTTGAGGGACCTGCCTTTACGTTTGGTTAGTAACAAGAAAATGTTTTATGTTACTTTTTGCTATAGACTAAACTTGTGAAATGTGCAAAGATGTTTGATGTTCAAAGTGTGTCTATTAAGCATGCTCATAAAACCTTTTGAGTGAATGTGTGGAGCATATTGTGTACTTGTGTATGTTCCATAGCTCATGAGCTATTTTAACATAATCTTCTCTCTTTGAATTGATAAATATTGATTGTGTTTCTTGTGATGGCCAAAAGACAACTTCCTCTTCTAGGCTACACTAGGTGTTTGTAATTGGATTTCCTTAGTTAATTCTCTGTTAGCGGATGGATTTCAAGCTGCATTTGTTTGTGCTTGCGTTTGCAGAACATCTGCCGAGCATTTAGAGAGCATTAGCTCTCAGTACAGAGGATATTGCGTATAACAGTAGCTGTTAAAGTACAGTTTGAATATGTTACAGACCTTGTTTAATCTTCTCTCATTTTATGCTTCCAACACGTAAAAGGACTGTGTTAAATTAAGCCCAGTTGCATTAATGAGATTAGACATAGCAGTTAGCCCATTAAGCAAATTTACAGTAATACCTGAGACATGCTCCCTTTACCTGGATTTTATTATTGCTTTTATTCAACACTGTGTTGAATCAAACTTTTCAGAAAACATACATCCTGTTATTACATGTTAGATTTTGTTTTGGTTGTGTGAAGACAAGCCATGTCATAGAAGCTGCTATAACAACTAAAAATATTAACTTAATTCAAACTGTTGTAATTATGATCCTATGGACCCTTGTGAAATACCATATAGCTGCCCCCTTTACAATGATGGTTATTACAACAACAGCATATGTAATACATTTTTCAGACTTTTTTATTTTATTTGTATTATTATCATTATTATTATTATGAAAAGTATCCATCATGGAACAGTGTAAACCTTCTTAAAAGCTGTTTTTTAAATAATTAATTGAAAAGAAGACTATCCAAATCATCATCTCTCAAATGTCATATTAAAAATCTTTGTGCCTGCATGATGAATGAGACAGCCACGACTGAGAGTTCAAGAAGGATTTTTATTAATTTATGGTTATCTCGGTTGAAGCACTCTCACATCACTTTCATTTGGATATGACATAAATGCAGAAAAATATAAGTGTTTTCCTCAAATGTGCTTACTGATCTCATCTCATCCATAAGAAATACCTGTTAATACAATTAATGTACTAAATCACTATTTAACGATTTGTCAGATACTGTTCCTACTCCTCAAACCTCTGAGAGTTCAGGTTAAACTCTTTCTGTACTGTGACGTAAGTGGATAATACATCTTTAGTTCACCAGAATAAAGTGAAGGGTGTATTTAAATCTTATTATTATTCAAATACTCTGAATACTAAACGCCTTTATAGTGCTGCTACTCTGCTGCGCTCATCAGCATATGACCCTGGAAGCTCCTGTGAGCATCACTTTGTTGACACAGAATTTGCCATGCTAGTCGGTTTGCACTTTTGTGCAGGCTTAAGAGGGATGGTGCAGAGCAGCATCTGGGGGCCATACTTTGTCAGGCCAACTTAATGTAGCTGCTTCATCCTAACTGACCGACCGCATTAAGTATTAATGAAGCACATTGCTGGCCTCATCATCATCACCCTCCTCCTTACCCCCCTGTATTTCTCATAGTTTTGCATGCATGCATCCATCCTTCCTGTTTGTTTCATCAGAAATCGCGTCTGCTCTTCACAGATATTGTTCCTTTGCACTTATCTTGATTCTTTTACTATCTCTAATTATATACTCAGCTTCTCTGCCACTTGTCCATATGGATTCTTCTTTTAACAATGTTCACTAACCTGAATGAAGCAACTCCCACCATATGTTCTAATTGAATCTCATTTCTGCAAACAAGAATTGATTTTGACATTAAATACTGGGGGTTTGAGGGGAAGATGACAATAAGTGAGGTACTGTCTCGGTTAAGCCGCTGTATTATTTATTGGTATACTGGCTGACGAGTTAAGCTATATTTTAGGGGCCTGTGTACATGAGCACATGTATATGTGCTGTTCATGCACATTGACGGATGTGAAACTGAACATGAAGTTTGCCGTTTTTGTATAATTAATGAACGGAGTCAGTAAATCTCGAGCTATGTGGGTTATAATGTAGAAATACATTTGTGGTGTGTGTATGTGTGTGGGCGGGGGGGAGGGGGTGTGTGTGCATTACTCATATATGAGCTTCTTGGTGGACGGGTGTTATTTGAAGAGATGCTGGTCTGTGTCAGCGTCTTGTTTTCATACTTTATAATTCAGCAACTGCACCGGCATCATCTTCTCCTTTAACCCCTTAGTCTTCTGAAAAGACTTTTACCTCATTCATTATAAACTCTCCAGCCTTCACTCTCCTTCCCTCCTTGGATTTTGATGGTATTTAAAATAAAGTCTGTGGGTTAGGCCCTGGTGACGGGTGTAAATATTAAACATGTTAAAAGCATGTTACCGACATGACAAGCAGCCCCTTCAGTTTGTCAGAGTCTCAGTGGTAAACACGTATTTTCTCATAGTGATAGAAATATTCTTAATATTTCCGTCTGATTTCAATAACTGCTAATGCCATTCTTTCAAATTTGAAATTTTCAAAGTAATAAATCTGACTCAAAGTTGAGATTTGAAAGAAATTTTAAAGAAAAACTAAATCCATTTCATGTTACATGTCCTCTTTGAAAATAAAACGTCAACATGCAAAATACATGTGTGGTTACGTTTGTTTAGCATTATTTTGGCCTATGTATAACATTATAAATTTGAAATTGAATAATCAAAATTCAGGTCAAGTGGGGGCTCCAAGGCAAAACGTTTTAAGAAGTTTATTCACTCTAAGACTTTCAGGGGGTTTTAAAGAAACTGAAAAATTAATGCAACCACAAATGGCAAATTTTGATACTTTGTTTTTGATCATTGACCGCATTTCTTACGCTTATCAACATCGTTAAAGACTGACAGGGCTAGATTGCACCATTCTTCATTTATTGATTTGAAATTACATCACGTAAATGAAGAATACTTCACTTTTTAACCTACAGATAAGCCTAGAATGCTTTCATATATATGTATTTGTTTGTCTATTTTGTCTTCACACATCAGTGCTGTGAAGCTGTGCTGAGCAGACAGATATCCTTCATCTGGCTGCTTCTGTATTCTGTCACATCATCAGTGAAAATTTGTTGTCCTCGGCTGAATGAGGTCAGTTACGCACATGTCATCACACGTTTTGCTTTTTCGGATCATGAGCCTATGTCCTCTCCACAGCTTCTTCCTTTTGTCGTTCAAGTACAGGATGATGCCGTTTCTTCTGTGCCAAAACTGCTGCCATTTCAAGATATTTTTTCAAGGCATCTATTCTTTTGATGAGGAATATTAATGGTTTGACTGACTTGTCGGACCCCGTCCATCCATTTTCATGTCACCTCTGTGTTCTGCTGTTCCTCAGGATGGAGCAGAGGACTGACCACTCTGATGGTTTGTCTGGCTTTTTGCTTCACAAGGATGTGTTACTTTTACTGCATGCTTCAGATTCACACAAAAAAAAGAAACTCAGTCTTTTTCCTGCTTAATTGATGGAGACATAGAAGAAAAGAACAGTCTATGAACTGTCTTTGACTTAACAGTCCTCTAACATTTCAGATTCTGTTCTATAACCGGTCTAATTCATAAAACTTTATTTTTAATATTTGTCTTTTTTCAAAGACTCACAATCTGACCGTAATTATGTGGACTTTTGCTAGAATTACCAAACTCTCAAATAACCTCGTTGAAATTGTAATAATATAGTATTCCCCACTTGTACTGAAATCTCAGCAGTTCTTTTGTGGATCAAACAATGGACAAAACTAAAGAAACTGCTATTTGAAATTTAGCTTTTAATAGTTACGATTATTCTATCAACTAACATTAATCAAATGAGCCAATACTGGTTTGAATGTTAGGTTCTGGCTCTAAATGTTACTTTAGAGTTTAACAAGTGTTAAATGTTACTGTTGTCTGATCAGATCTAAGGACTGCCCATGCTGACGCACAGTGGCTTATTTTTCTCTCCTCCACAACCCAAGAAAAGAAATAAAGCCACACATGCACCTACAGTCACACACATATAGAGATGAAAACACAGATTGTTCTTTTTGAGGTAAAAGAAAAACATCTTCTTCCCTTCCCATTTTCCTCCCCTTTTTTGTTGAAGTAAAGGGAAGTGAGTTAAATCTCTGAGGTGCCTCCTTATGTGTGTGATGCCCGGAACTGAGGGATTTTTGTTCAACCAAAGGACACCACTTGAGCCTCAGTATACGTTTCACAGGAGTATATAAACATACACACACACACACACACACACACACACATGTGCTTAAAACCTACACACATACACAGGAGAGGAGAGAAGCTGACAGCTGATTCTCCATGTGTGCTTAAAAGGACTTTGAAGTTTAATGTGTCACATTTCTGGCCTCTGTTAAAGGGGTATTAGAGCACACATGTTTGCATGTGGTCTCTCCACATGTGAAGGAGAGAGCAGGGGACAAAGTGAGAAGATTAGATGATGGGGTTTTTCCCTTTTTTATCCTTTTCTAGCAGCAGCAAGTACCTCAATCTCACTTTCAGACTGGAACATTTTTCATTTTTCTCATCTTACCCTTCAGCCTTTTCTTCTCCCCGTCTACCCCCCCCCCCCTTCCCTCCTGTCTGGTAGATGGGCTCTGTTGCTATTTGTTGTGTCCCAAGGGGGAGCTCAGATGACTCTTTATGCAAACATACTTTCTGCAATCATTAACAACTTATTTCACACTCACTTTGGGTTCCATTCATTTTAATAGCTGCTTTGGTTTTGGTAGTGCTTGCTGTTTCCTCTTCGTCTTACACGTCCCTTCACTTCCCTTCCATCACTGTGACTAAATCATTTAGCCGAGCATGGCATTGTGAATTAATGCTGCAAAACTGTGACGCTTTACTGAGGATGTCCTGTGATTTCAAAATGAGACAGCTCAAAAAGTGACTTCGTGTTCTTTGCTGCGAGTAAAGTATTGCAAAGCGGTATTCGGCATTCATCTGTTTCTTTTTGCCAGTTAACCAGCGTCGCACCATACAACATGTTTCACGAAGCATGGGATCGGTCTTCGGCTCAATTGCCTTTCGAGACAATGCGCGACTGTTTGTTATCTTGGCTACTGAGTGCTGAAGTGAATCAAGCCTGTGAGTTATGAGGCAGTTATCTCCGACCATTAGGCCACCCTGGATGCCAGCAGCAGTCACTCCCTGGCAGCGTAGTCCCACTTGTTGACTGAATCTCTGGCTTTTTCTATATACAATTCTGTCTATTTCCCCTCTCCGCTCATCGTTTCTCGAATCCTCTCTCTCTTATCTCCCATCCTCTTGTTGTCCACGTGATTGCCAAACTCACAGTGCCCTTCATTTTGTCTGCTTTTTCAGTCTGCTGTTGTGTGTCTTTGCAGGATGAAAAGTCCACTTTCTTCCAGTTCGGCGCGGCCCTGCAGCAGGAAGCTCTGCTCATGCTCGCTATCATGGAGGAGTATGACTGGCATGTCTTTTCCATTGTTACTTCTAAGTTCCCGGGGTATCAGCAATTTATCAGCACGCTAAGGGTAACAGTGGACCACAGGTAAAGAAACTACACTCTTACACACACACACACACACACACACACATACATTTCCATTGTTTTCATCTTTTATCCATAGCCGCTCACAAGATTCAGGGCCATGTATTATTTATTGGTGTATTGTTACAGCTTTGTGCGCTGGGACCTGCAGAGTGTGGTGACACTCGATGCTATAGATGGCGACCCAAACTCAAAATCACACATTGCCCTCAAAAGGATCCAGAGCCCTGTTATCCTTCTGTATTGCTCTAAGGATGAGGCTATGTGAGTGTTTGCCTTTCATTTTCCCATCCTGTGTGGGTTTTATTTTGCTCACCTACTGCCAGATTTGATCGGAAAAACTGTTTCTTCTCTTTGACAGGTATATCCTGGATGAAGCTCGGTCCTTGGGTCTGATAGGAGCTGGCTACATCTGGATCGTGTCCAGTCTGACCACTGGAAACCCAGACTTTACTCCTGAGGTAGTGAGGCCCCAGATGTTGTAACAGGTGGCCATGTTTAAGTTGTTTGACAGAACAAGATATGTTTCTGATTCGAAGCCATCGCAGATCATTTACAACCTGTCCTGTAGTTCTCCTGGTGTCTGTTTATATTTCCTAGCAAAATTAGATGAAAAAGAGAGGTGATAACATAAAGAAACATGGATTATCAAATTTCATGCTATGTCATGCCATATTGTTTGTTAAGTGAATACAGCAGTGGTCACTTCTCACATCGGTTTATGCAGTGTAATATTTTTCTGTCCCTAAAGCATTTTCTCAGCACAAAAACAGGGTGTAATAGCATTTTATACACATATTATCTAAAGATTAGTGCACAATAGAAAGGATGACACCGCTGTGCAACATCACTTAAATGTCAAGTGATTCATGATTATATCTGCCCTCATGCAGGCTTGTATCATCCCTGAATAATCAAATCTTAATTATTTGTTGGCTGGTAACCACAACATTTTCCTCTCATTGAGGAAACTGACTCTAAACGGACTTCGAGATCTAGCTTTAATATAAAAAGAAGCTTACAGTTGTGATCATTGTGATTACTGATGGCAAAAGTACACTTGTGGTACCTAAGTATTATAAATTGGCAGTTTTTAAAATTTATCTCTCTGCATGTTTTGTGTACTCCATGAGGTGAGGTAAAAAAAGTCTGATTGTGAGATTTCTCACAAATGGAAATGGATTTGGGAAAGTGAGCAACAAAAGATATTCTAGTTTAAGTAGCAATCAGGAGAACCTGAACAATGCCCGAATCAGAGACAGAGTAACAGAGCTAATTCAGATGCAGAGCTGATTATGCAGACAAGTGCTACCAACTCAGTATGAGGTTCTTTTGAAGTCTACCAGTTTTTGGTTGATTTTGTTTAAGGGACAACTTAGGCAGTGTAAAGGGAACATGATGTTGACCTTTCATGAAGGAAACAGCTACTTTTTGTTGGCATAATATGAACTTTTGGGAAAGGTGTTTGACTGTTAGACCAAATTTTCTGGAAAATAATTTAACAAAAATTTGAATGCACCATTATGATCATATTAATATAAGTAACACAATTTGGAATTAATTAACATATAAGTGATATTGTGCATGCATTCCTCTCTTTCATGGAATTCTCTTTGGCTGTCCATCATTACACTTAAAATTCATTGCTGTGTTGACCCAGATGTGACTCTTACATGATCAGAATCGAAATGTAAAACAAAATATTATAGGGCAGAATCAAGGATTTCTCAAGTGAGGGTTATTTTTATTGATAACAGCAAACTGTAGGTGACAAGGAAATTAACTTCTCAGTCAATGAGGAAATTGTTCACATTTACATAATAGGCAGCTAAGAAGTATTCCATGATGGCTCCTTGAACTAAAACACTCATACGCTTCACACCTCTGAGAAATACAGTGGTCTTTAAAATTGGGGGTAAATTTTAAGGTAGAACGAAGTCCTACACAGTACATATTCCCTCTTAGATCTCTTCTCCTCTTAGGTGTTTCCCATGGGTATGATCTCTGTGTCCTTTGATGACTGGGAGTACCCGCTAGAGACACGCGTGCAGGACGGGGTGGGCATAATTTCTTCTGGAGCCACCTCCATGCTGCGGGAGAAGGGAGAGCTGCCAGAGGCCCAGAGCAGCTGCTACAGCACACCATCAGATAGGAGCCCTGGGAAGCTCCCACCTAGTGCCCTGCGCAGGTGTGTGCGTGCGCTTGTTTGTGTGTGTGTGTGAATTGAGTGTGAGGAGATCAAGGTCTGGGGACTTGCATAACTCGGTTTGTCTTTGTAGCAGAGCGTTCAGTAGTCTTGCATAACTCTTTCTAATGTTCTAATGATAGAGGCAGTGTGGAGAAAAGTGTTAAACGCTGTGATTTCTAATGACATTCGACACATTCAGATGCTGAGCGTAGGGCTGCTCAGTTTATAAGCCAATTGTAGCTCTTTAGCTGAGAGACAGAGAAGTGATCCTTAGGCAGACCTCTGTGTTGTTGGTGGCCTGTGTTAACCATGGACCAGCAAAGCCTCTGGTGTGCATGTACTTTTGCGTGTGCACCTGCTTCACATCATGTCGGGACTCACTGTCATTAAGTCAGGATTAAAGCAGATTCTACCAGCTTTGTTCCCACTTTCTCTTTTTTCTTGTTACAAGGCTTTGTGGGTGGCATATACATGTTAGCTGGTCTGTGTGTAGGTGTGTGTGTGTGCGTGTGTGTGTGTGTGTGTGTGTGTGTGTGTGTGTGTCTGTGTGTGTGTGTTTATCTGCAGAAAGCATTCATGGCTTTGTACTCCACTCTGTGATGACACTTTAGTCAGTTTCTTCAAACAGAGCGCGAAGACAAAGGGGCACACACACAGACATGCACTGAATAACCACAAATGTAAATGCACTATCACAGGACTGTTAGTCATAATGCTCTCTGTCAGGTTTTTGTGCTGTGATAGTGCGACTGCATCATGAATATGAAACATGCAGTGGCTAAAATGTGATTACAAATTCAGAAGTCTCTATCAAACAAACCAAAACATAAAGGTCATGTTGCTTAGCCCTGCACATATATATAGTGACTTATGAGTTGCCTCATTAGAATGAGCCACAATGTGATTTTCACTCTTGTGGCTTTATTATACCATTTCTCTCTTTTGTTTGTCCGTTATGGTATATATCAAAGCATATGCAATCCTGCTGTTGTTGACAGGTTGATTCAATAGAACTCAGATCTCAGTTGGAACTTGGATATCTTTCTGAGAAATCCTCATTCAGTCAGGGTTGCCTAATTTGTCTATCAAAGTTATTAGATAGAATTAGCATATTTGTCAAAACAACTGCAGCCAGTTTTTGTGATTACGAACTGACAGGTTGAATTTCCCTACCCTGATGCAGAAGTGGTGCGGCTGTGATCACAATTCTGCATATATTAGTCTAGATTCAATCTTGCCGCAGTGTGCATATAAACAGCATGACGTGGAGAGGAAGGAACAGGACTACATCATCTGGCATTTATAAGGCAATATCTGCATTTTTGTCATTCTTGCTTGACAGGAATGAATATATTAGTCTCTTGTTTGGCATATTTGGGCTCAACATTGGTGCAGGTTTTTGTTGAGGTTTGTCCTTTGTAAGTTTCAAAAGGTTATTCTTTTTGATGTAGCCAGTGTACCATGCAGACCCTTAAGGTGTCCCTTGATTCTGAAAAAATGCTGCCTGCTTTAAAAGAATTTTGGAAAAGCCACTCTTTATTCTTTATTCATGCTTTCAGAAAAGTGCACACACAGGGGCTTCTCAAAAAAATTTCAGCTTATACTTTGTAAAACTTTGTTTCCCGTTTGGCAGCAGGAGTTTTACAAGCATTTTATTCACGAGCGCTGTCACCTTAACTTCCACTGAGCATCTACTTGATGCAAATAATCTTGCATTTTGTTACTAAGAAAGCCATTAAACCAATTATACTGAAGCTGTGTTTTTTGCTTTAAAAAAACTCCGACGAATCACGTATTTACACAAGCGTGCGTATACAGATGAACAGGAATATAGAAAGTAGTATTTGCTTATGGTGCATGCCTCAGAAACACACCAGCGTCATCCGTTCAGATCAAAAACTTTTTCCAAAAATGGTATCAAAGCTGAAATAGGAGGAGACAGCAGCTTCCCAGAATAGACTACAACAGTGTTTCCGCTACATGTATTCAACTGTGGCAATTTGCTGCGACAAGGGCATCACCTGCTGCAACATGAGGATTTGGAAAAAATGTATACATATATAGATATATATGTATGCGCATGTGTGATTCTAATATATTAAATAATTAGAATAAGTTATTGTAACCCATAATAGTCACCCACAGCTACTGAAAACAAAAGAGTCTCTTTTATGTGACTGTATAGATTTAGATTAAATGCTTTGTGGTCGAGAGAGAAGGTGTTCCACAGCAGAGCTGTTTGGCATACTGAGGAGACAGGGACTTTTTTTTTCCCACTGAGTGAACGGAGCTTGCTTTGAGAAAGGAGAGAAACAGGCCCACTTCCAAGTCATTATGAAAACAGATGATTACTGCAATGTGCTCTAATCCACTGTCCAACAACAGTCTTTATGTACGCCGTCTCTAATATCATTCCTGGAGAAGAGACAACGTCAAATCCCACCTGTTTGCGGACAGGGGGATTCTCATCATATTTACCTGCAGGGTATCTGAGCAGCACTCAGACGATTCTCTTGATGCTTCTTGCCTTCCTGTCACAGCATTTGAGTTTATGAATAAATTTGACAAACTCACATAACAACACAACACCTTTTAAGTTTCCCTTTTGAAAAATTATGGTATTCAATGATTATGTTTTGAAATGAACCTCAGACCAAACTGTGAGATTTATAATTCACTTTACTGATTCACTTTAGCAAGTGTGTAAATGTTTCAGCCACAGATCTGTTTACATATGCAGGATAGCTGTAGTGAGTAAGAGAGTGAAGGCAGCCTCGCTGCACCACTGACCTGTCTTTCAGGCGTGTATCTGTGAAGAAATCAATGCAGAATGTTGATGGGAGAGATATGTGCCCTCTGACTCTTCCCCCTCCTACTCACAAATAGACGTGCACATCCTTGCACATGCAGTGGGTGAACACAGCATCAATTTAAAGAGGATAATATTCCAGTGATTACAGAGTGCTTAACGCGTTGTTTCAAATGTATTTGCTGTTGAATAGATATTTGGACCGATTCAAAACAATAGTGTACCACTCTCTCTTTTCCCATGGGTTTCAGGCACATGATGCATGTGTGGAATGATGGGCGAGATCTATCCTTTACCCCAGATGGCTACCAGGCTAACCCGAAATTGGTTGTCATTGTTCTTAACAGTGAAAGGAAATGGGAAAAGGTAAGATTTTTTTTTTTTCTTAAAGGAGCCAGGAAATGGAAAAATGAAAACACTTAAGTATGTTTCCTGTCCCTGATATTGCCTGCTTGGGCACACACAGATGGGCCGCTGGGAGAATGGGACATTGTCACTGATGTTCCCAGTGTGGCCGAGGTACAACGCCTATGGGGATGAGGATGCTGATGAAAATCACCTCTCCATCGTAACTCTGGAGGAGAAGCCTTTTGTTATCGTTGACAACGTGGACATCCTCACCGGCACCTGTATGAGAAACTCTGTACCCTGCCGTAAACACGTCAAACTGTGAGTAACCACACACATTACCACGATAGACAAAAACATCACACCAATCTTCTGCAAATCCACTACTCATGTGAAGCCAAGAGGCATTTCACGTTCACTCTTATTTGAATGTTTCTGAGGGTTGACAGGGACGGATTTGGTCCCAAAATAGGTGAAAGCTCGGTTTGATGAAAGGGAACTGGTGAGGTGTTTCAATGTGTACAGGAAACTTTAACAGTCTGTGTTGGCTCTATAAGAAGCACAACATTTCAATTTGTTTTGAATATTCTTGAAACGACTACATCAATCTTACCGGTCTCAGTCTGACTGACAGCATAATTGTCAGTCAGCTGCTCTTTGCTCTTCCACTGTTTCTTCTGTGCTGGGCCCACTCATTTTCACTTTATATAATAATGACTCACCATCGGTTTGTCCTCAAGTCTGATATCCAAATTTATGCCGCTTACACTGAAGCGAATGCTTACAGTTGTGTCGATCTAAAGGCAGAGTGGTTCTCTTGTAGTTTTTGGAGAAGATGCTCTTTCAGCATTAATAATTCATAGTTTTCTGTTGCTGTTACTTTGCTAATACCGACCAGTTTCTATTTTGGGTTTAACTACAATTTCCAATGGGTACATTTTTTACGTAAATTACCTTTGGTACTGTTTAATTAATTTATTATTAGAAGCTTAGGAACATCATGAACATCAAGAACATCATCATCATCATCATCAATATGCGCTCTTTTCATTATGTCTTATAAAATTGCAGTGAATTGTCTATTGACATTTTTGGTGGCTTCTTGAGGCCTGTTAAAAAAGGGCTGAATAATTGTGCTGGACTCGGACATACCCATCAATATGTGATGCTTCCCAGCATTTCTTACCCAGCTACTGAAACTACCGTGTGCCGTTTCTTTCCATCTGTCTTATTTTTCTGCCTCCCCATATTCATCTCCCCGACTGTCTGCCAGTGGCTGTTCACATCAAATTCCAAATTACAGTTGTGGCATTCAAAGCTCCTCTGGGAGTCGTGTGCGGGGTCTGCAGGACTATGGTCTGTCCACAACAGCCGGCCTGAGCTCTGCTACAAGCGGTCACTTAACGTTCCACTCCCTGCAGCACCGTTGTCAGCCTTTTACCTGACCTTGACTCCTTTTTCTGCTGCTCCTCAATAGTGAAATGTCTTCCCACTCAGGTGGGAGTACAGAATCACTCCCCTTTTTATGCTGTACAATGTACTAGTCATATCTTAGCTCAGCACCTGCTTTTATAGAAACATCAGTCATCTGTTAACCTGGATGTTTCTGATTTGATGTTATCTTGACATCCCTTTTGGATCTCAGGAATGTTATTTCAGCTTTGAGCAGCACTCTCAATAGCAGGTACGACTCAATTTGTTGTACAAAGGCATTCAACTCTATGATGTTAATATATTTAAATTCCAATAATCCAATCACAAAAGTTTGTTTGTAACAGGTTAATAAAGATCTGAACGATTTAATATGATTTGATTTTCTAATCATATAAACTAGTGTTCCAGTCACAAAAGGACTGGTAAATCATCAGCTGTTGACAGTGGGACATGCCACCACTGTGAATTTGGGAGACCAAAAAAAGTCAAACAAAAGGAAAATCAGAGTCTCCTAAAAAAAAAAAAAAGAAACAGCTGGAGGAACACAACGCAACCAACCAGGTTCATTAGTAACCTGTCAGTAACATGGTTTGGTATGAAGATACCTGAATAAAGAAGCAAAGTCTCAGAATAAGTCTTATCAATGTAATACTGCGAAACTGCTTCATCTACAGTACTTAATCTTATAGAAATATTCAGAAAATCTGGATACACCTCTGCTCAAGGAATACTGCTTTAAATAAATAAAATATGCCCAGGATTTTGGTGTACTCACACAGACATGATTCAGTCATGGAAATCACTTAGGAGCACTTTGAGAAATGATTGTCTCAGAACACTTTTTTGGGGGGGCATCCACAAATGTGAGTTAAAGATCACAAAAAAGAGAAGATTTATCTGAACGGAATTCAGAAACTCATTAAAAGAGAGTGGAGGGAAGTGGGAAAAACTGTTAGATTAATGTTGGTTAGATAATTCCGATTTTGTAGATCTTTGTGAAAACAATTAACTCTACATCTTTCTGACTTAAAAGGGGAACAGCCAGTCACCATTTGGAGCTTGTCATCAATAGTGAAGGCTATATTTTCCCTTTCTGATGGCATGGTGGTGCATTAGTGCTTGCATGGGGAAAGGTACTATCAGTGCTGAAAGGTACATACAGGTTTTTATCAACAAATGCTGCCAACCAACGTCTCCTTTAGGGAAAGTTTTACATATTTCACGAAGGCAATACTAAACTACATGCTGTTTCTTTTGCTACAGAGTGACTGTGTTGTAAGAGAATCTTGGAACGAGCTGCCCACAGTCCAGACCCATTTGTAACATTTCAAGCATCATAAAACAAAAAATTCTAAAAACAGGGCTGTTGAATATGATTTTCCTTCTATCAAATTAATTTTGGGGATTTTCTTTTTACACAGCATCCCAACAATTCTGGCATTATGTTTCTTTTTCTGTGACTCTGGTTTGTAGCTCCAACCAAAACACCAAGAAACAGAAACAGAATTTTCCATAGAAATACAATAAAGTAAATTCCTCTAGAAACACTGCTGGAATCCAGGATACTAAACGTTGTTATGATTTTTATTCTAAAAATAATAATAGCAAGAAGAATAAAGTGAACACTGGACATGCAGTAAGAAAGAGATGTATGATAACAATATCTTAGAGGCACAAACAATTAGACCGCTGAGTCATCACTCATCCACACTTTAACTTGTGACCTGAATGGTCAGATTTTCCTCTGAAGCAATTTTAGTGGAAGTCAGTTTTCACAGACCCAGAAGGCCAGTGTGCTATAGGCCTTTATTTATTTTTTTCCGTTACTCATCATTCTTGCCTTTGAAATTGTAAACTTTCAAAAGGAGTGCTTTTACTCATTCAGGAAAAGAAAAATCTAATAAATGGCAGCGTATTTTTTCTGGTTTTGTTTATTGACTTTTAGCAGAAAGTTCCCCCCCTCCCATTTAAACCAGTTCCCAAAAATTGAATTGTGCGCTCGAGGATATTACGGGACAGTAAAATGAGATCTTTCGCACAAGTATAAGCGATGCCAACGCTGATCGGATCTGCTTGAGGCTGCCCTACATATAAGAACAAATATATAACCAGGCAAAAGAATGTCAATCGTTCTATACATGACTGGAATCATTCCCCCGCAAGCGCCGAGTGTGTGAGAACCATGCTTCACAAATGCAGCAAATTCCCCAGTATCTTGGTATTTGCTGGTATTCCTGCTGATCTGCACATTGACCTCAGTTTATTGAGGGAAATCTTGGCCTGTAGGATATTTGTGCAGCAGCGCTGCAGCCAACTGTTTGACCCCTCATCCAGCTTGTCGGATAACGTGCAGAGTTCCAGCACAATGCCACACGTGGAGTCTTGGAACAAAGACTATAGATCATCTTCATTCCCCAGCCAGAAGTCCAGGTCTAATCCCCACAGAAAATCTCCGGGAATTTGCTGGTCAGGCAAGTACGACAGTGCTATGAAGACACAGAGCCAGCTCCAAACTGAGCTGTTTGGAAATGTGAAGCCATTCCTCAGGACTGGATCAGACTGTGTTGCCTCTCTATGATCAGATTATGTGACCATAATCGGGCAAGTGGAGGGAACACATGTTGTAGCTTTTTCTTTTTCCTTAATTCTTTATTGTTTTTAGCTGCGCGCTGTTGCTGTGGTTCACATGAAACTCACATCAAGAGGGTTCCTGGTTCTACTCCCAGCTAGGACTTTCTGTGTGTCGTTTGCATTTTCTACCAATGTATGCTTTTTCCCACAAAACCAAAGAAGAAAATATTTTTTTATATTTGGTTATTCTTAATTGACCCTTAGTGTGAGTGTGTGTTTTTTTTTGGTCTTTTTTGTCTCTGTGTGGCCCTATGATGGACTGGTATGTGTTCAAGGTGTATCCTGCTTCCCGGCCAATGACAGCTGGAATAAGCCCCAGCCCTCCTGTGACCCTGAATAGGAATAAGTGCGTATTGAAAATGGATGGATGGATTTCTATTCTCAACATTGTTTAGTTTTGACACAGAGAAATCTTATATCTCTATTATATTTATATCATAAGTTTATTTGTAGACGATAATATTCGAACGATAAGAACGAGGAATTTCAAAGTTACGCAGACTCATCCATCCATTGTTGAGTAAATATCCTTAATTACTAACCCGGTTGGATTTCGATGCTTTGTTATTCTAAATTACATAAACCAAACAAACATACTTACAGTCTGTTGTTCAATGTGCTGCCGTCACCGTGTTCATTTGTGTGTAAATGCATGTGTTTAGCGACATAAGGGCTCAGAAAGGGCTCAGCTGGGAAGAACTACAGTATGTGAGCATTTGAACACCTGAGGCACAAACTGTACAAATACAAACACTTAATATATTCTAGTATCTTCTTCTCTCTTTCACACATATTTACTGTTCCACGCATAAACTTCACTTCACTCTGCAGATTATTTGAATCCTTTGAATTATCACTTATCCTGGTTGTTTCTGTGCTCCCTGTGTGTGAAACGTTCGGTTCCTCATGAACTTTCTCTGGGATTGGAGTCAGCTGAAATGGCAAGGGAAAAGGTCACAGAAGTGCTGTTGGAATCCACATGGGCTACATCAAAGATGGCTGACATTGGAATTGAATTAAGTTTTCATGGAAAAGCTTTTGAAAGGGCTGGTGGGATTTAATAGATTATGAGAATCATTTGATCCAACAATTCAGTGGAGGTCACTGCTCTGATGTTCTCCGGAGTGTCTGTCAGGAAAGTTAACTTAACCATCAGTTCTCATTCCGCACATCCTTCATTTGTGGCTGCCTTGTGAGTTGGTATTTTATGGGTTTGGAGAAGAAGATCCTCACAGCAGGATAAAACAGGAAAAAAAGGTGCTAAGGAGAAAAAGACGCAGAGGAGAGACAAGGAAAGGACAGCTGATATTTTAATCATGTGGGTTGGTTGCGCTGTAACTATATTTAAAGCCTGGCAGCATCTGCTCAGTACCCCTGTGTTTTCATCTGGTTTGGTTAGCTGGCACTAAGGGAGGTAACACACACACTCAAACACACACACTCACACACACACACTCTGCGCTAGCGCTCATTGCCCTTCAGCAGTATTTATGGTCACTCTGCACAGTCATAACTCCAGTTTTAAGACTTTGATTGACCCACCAGATGTGAAGTGAGCGTGCAGCTCACACAGATAAAATCACCATTGAGACGTTCGCCTGAGCGATACCTTTATGTCATCCGATGTAAGAAAAATCTGTTCTAATGGTGTGCTTTTTCTTTGTGGCCAAATGTTGCAGCAACAGCACGGCGGGAGGGGCCTACATCAAGCAGTGCTGCAAAGGTTTCTGCATCGACATTCTGAAGAAGATAGCCAGGAACGTCAAGTTCACCTATGACCTCTACCTGGTCACCAACGGAAAACACGGCAAGAAGATCAACAATATGTGGAACGGCATGGTTGGAGAGGTACTACCACTCCTCTGTTGATTAATTATTGTGCCACTGTTGGGCTTTCTGTGCTAACACTTGAACTTGCACTCCTTTGAAAAGGAAACAGTCTCGCAGCAAAATGCGAAATAGTCTAAAATAAATGTATCTATATTTGTGCCCACAGACACTGTTTTCGCTGTTCTAGTTTGTTTGTTTGTTTGTTTCCAGCCACTGGATGTTTGAAGCTGACTGTTGCTTCAAATTCCGAAGGAAAGAAAATTACTATTTTTTGTTGCATGGTGCAACATACACAACTGCATAGCTGAAGGGCCAAGTTTGAGTCATGTGTGTAATTTTTTTAAAGTGACATTTTCTTGATGTTTCCTCTAGATTTTACTCACTGTTTCATAGGCGCTTTACACATTACAAACCACTGTCTGAGGACATTACAAAAACTGTGCATTTGGGTTAGTTGGGTTAGTTTACTTTTGGTTTGAGTTGTTTTATGGGATTCATTAGCATAATGAACACAGCAGAAGAATGTTGTGCTGTGATGGAATGGCAACCCATCCAAGGTGTCCCCCGCCTCTCGCCAGATCACAGCTGGAATAGGCTTCTGCCCTCCAACAATCCTGAATTTGAGGGGGGGGAGAAAGCACAGATGGAGAATGGGTTAATTGGAAAATGTCTTGTTAGATTTGCGTCTTAATTATGTTTATTTAAACTAACCTTATAAATCTGCTGGCTTCATCAGTAAAAAATTCACAAAATGTACTACACAACATCTGAATCCCACTCCATCCACGTTCCATCTTGATATTTCTTTTTTTTTACCTTTAACATTAATATTTGAAAGTGATTTAATTTTTAAATATATATTAATTAAATATTAATTGAATAAATATCACCATATGGCTTTTCAAATGTACCATCACAGGTTCAGGTAAAAAAGAGGCAGGCTTTCTTCAGCTTGCCTTGTCATTATTGCTTATCTTTTTCTAGAAATGGTCTCTTCTCTGACAGATTAAATTAAAGTGAAGTCTTATCACAATACATCCTATTAGTATCTTTAATTAAAATCTGACAATACAATCCGTACATTTTTTTGTGGTAATCTTGCATGTATACACGGTTTTTAAAAAAATCCATCTTAATGAGCAGAATTTGTCTGTCAGAAAACATTCAGTCACCCAGAAATGATGGAGTATGAAAATGACGTGGATTTTTATTTTTTATGCGATGTTGCTGCAAGTGCTTTTCAGCTCTGGCTGGCATTATGTGCTACAGCCTCAGTCACTGTGACATTTCACAGTGAAATGAGGAATGCATCAAAAGCAAAATGTGTGAAGTTGTGTAAATATTTACCAAGCCCCCAATTCTTGTTTCTACCTTTGCGGGCCGTTAGTAATGCGCCCACAATAACCACCGTTCTGTCTGTCTGTCTGCCTGTCAGGTGGTGTATAAGAAGGCTGTGATGGCCGTCGGGTCACTGACCATCAATGAAGAGAGGTCAGAGGTCATCGACTTCTCCGTGCCCTTTGTGGAGACCGGTATAAGTGTCATGGTGTCACGTAGCAATGGAACTGTCTCTCCCTCCGCCTTCCTCGGTAAGTCTGCCATTGTTTTGACTTCTTAAATTATAAATGTGTTCATGCTATGCTCAGTCTTTCTTTTTGTTTTCCAATCTTTCCATATCTGCAATGAAAATGACAAGTCGCAGAACTAACTGAAATCCTGAACATGAAGTTGAATATTTTATCCAGACAGTAGGCTACACGCTGACCAAATTCCACTTGTGCTTTGACTTTATTTGGGCCTTAACACCCCGAGCACATTAATATTTCCCCCAGAGCTGAGGATGTGAAGCGTGCCAGCTGTTTTTTGAAAAGTCAGCTCAGACAAAACACTCTTGATCTTCCTTTCTTCTCTTCCTTCTCCTCCTCTTTCTCCTCCTCTTCTGCAGTTGTTGAGATGACTAGAAAACAAGGCCCTCCTCTGTGCTTGCCTAATGTCTTGAATTGTCATTGGAGCGAGGCAGGGAGCGAGGGGGTGTATTGGACCATGCATGTGTTGGTCTCTGTGTATCAAGCCATGTGTCAGTATGCCTGTGTGTAAGGGACAAAAAAAAAAAAAAAACTGTGTTATGCTGCTAACATATTGCTACGTGTTCTGAGTCAAGGACGTGTGGAGAATGAATGTGCCATGGCCGTGTTTATGTTAAGGGGTGAATGCTTTGTGTGCGTACTTATGTGAAAGCTTATCATTATGGGTGTGCCTAAGTGTGTGTGTGTGTGTGTGTTGAGCTCGGGCCAGGGTATCAGTGACGGTTCAGTATCCCCTGCACTCATATTAGAGGCACCTCAGCGCACAATCTCTCAGGGTTGGCTAACCCTGGCAGTCACATACTTACACATACAGTGACACACACACTCGTACAGTTTGTCGGGGATCAACGTATCTGACGCTCATCGCACTCTCTGAACTCCTGCCCGGCTGCATGCCCAACACAGACACTCGCACACACACAAATAGATCACATGCACATGCCCCGAGCGGGGCACATCAGATCACCAGGAGTTTGATTCTTATCTCTTCCACCCCTCCGCTGTCTCGCCCTCTTTCTTTCACCCTCTCCTTTACCCCCTAGCCACCCCCTTTCTCAGTTCTCATCCAGGGGAGTAATGAGAAATATGGAAATGTGCTCCGTCAAACTCTCTGTGACTAACTCTCCCTCTCCTTCCTCCCCTCTATTCTCACTTTATCCTCCTTCCCTCTCCGTGTCTTTTCGATCATCTTTGCCCCACTCTTATCTGCCCTGTATCAATTCTCTCCTCCTTCTTTATTTCATGCCCCTCCTCAGTGTTTCTATGTCTCATGTGCTCGATTTCACTTAAACTTTGTCTTCTTCTTTCCCTCATCTCAGAGCCCTTCAGTGCGTCGGTTTGGGTGATGATGTTCGTGATGCTGCTCATTGTCACAGCCATTGCAGTCTTTCTCTTTGAGTTTATCAGTCCACTGGGCTTCAACCGCAACTTGGCTCAAGGCAAAGGTACACAGACACAATCAAGAAAATCACACCAATCATTTCTCGCAGCTGCAGGAAGCACAAATCCAAGTTTCCCCCAGAGCAAAAAGAAGTGACCTACTATTGCTCTGGCTCCGGATAGATCAGACATGGTTAGAATGAATTAGCATGTTTCTATCAGTCCCGGTCACAACATCTGTTACGTGAGACATCATTGAAAAACTGAACCGTTAGCTGTGGAATACAGATTATTGTTGTTTTAAAAAAAAAAAGCCAATCAATGAGGAGAAAGTGGATTGTATTTTTTTCTCAGATTTTCTTTTCTTTACCATTGCCCTCTGACTAAGTGAACGTCTGCACATTTTAGGAGCCACAATCAAAAGATTCAATCAATGGGCATACCACTGACGTTAGTGTTCTTACATAAAGTTTGAGCCTTTGATACTTTATGTAATAAACCTTTCACTCAACATTAATCCCTTTATCGCTCAAGATTCATAACAGCATTTTGATGGACATGAAACGTGTTTGCTGCATGTGCTTTTTTTTAAGCATTAGATAACTGATTCTTATCTAATGTTTGTATCTTGAGTGTAGAACTACAGCCCGGAGCTTGTGAAGTTTAAAAACTGACAGTGGGTGGGGGTACAACTAGTCATGTGGCTGCCATCACCCTTAAATCCTGCTCAGAAACATGCAGAAATATATTTAGGGAACTTTTCAATATTGAGTCAAAACATCAGAAAGAACTTTTCTGTTTTCTTGTGTAATTTATAAGTCTGAAGGATATTATTTAGATTTATTTCTGCCTTTAGCTTTTTTTTTTTTTACTGATGTTACTGGATTTTATTCAATTTTGCTTCAAAGTTTTTCCCATATTCATCCTCCTTGCTTGTTTCTAACCATTGCAACTAAGTGTGTAGGCTATAGGCATGAATACAAATTTAAGACAACAATACTATCACATTTTTTTTACAATGTAACCCCCTGGCCCTATTAAATTAAATGGCCTCTCTTTTCCACCTCCACATTATGTCCCCATTATATACTAATTGCGTAACAAATACTTCAAATAAAAATAAAATAAAAAACATGACTCCCCCTGGCCGTATCATAAACTCTCAGTTTTTTTATTTATCTATTAATTTTACACGCTTTTTGTGGATGGTTAAAAAGGACTATGGTGCATTTGATGACTTGCCAAAACATACAGCCTCTGACATTTAATATTTCGAAACATCTTTGAATCTTAAGTTTGTCAGTTTGTCTTGTTATTTACTGAATTCTTAATTATTTAGTTGTTAACTAAATAATTAACTAAATCAGTCTGAAAGACTAAACAACCCTACTGTGTTGGAATTTTTTTCCCAAAAAAAGAGAAAAAAAGGAAATCATACAGCATACAGTGATGCAACATTATCATTGAGGTGGTTAACTTATTGTCAAAATTGGACGAATTAACCTCCTCACACACATGTTGAAATAGTATCAGGAATATATGAGTCATGTCCTGCTGAACTTTAAACAGATTATTGTATGAATCACTTCCACTTTGGCTTCACTTTTCTGATTCAAGTGGAAGATCGATGTATCTTTATAACAGTTCCATAGGTGGACATTTTAGTCATTTTTATGTAAAATCTTTACAATGTTTTCCAGATTCTGTGATGAAAATGTGAGTAGTCTTCTCTACCTGTACAGTTATTCACTTTGTAATAATTTCACTTTATTTATTTTATTCCTCCCATGCCACTCACTCAGACCCTCATGGTCCATCATTCACCATTGGTAAGGCGATATGGCTGCTGTGGGGTCTGGTGTTCAACAACTCTGTGCCTGTCCAGAACCCAAAAGGCACCACCAGTAAATTCATCGTGTCTGTGTGGGCCTTCTTTGCTGTGATCTTCCTGGCCTCCTACACTGCCAATCTGGCCGCTTTCATGATCCAGGAAGAGTTTGTGGACCAAGTCACTGGACTGTCTGACAAGAAGGTGGGATTACACGTATATGGACACGCATTGACACACACACAAAAAAAATAAACACACTCGCTCTCTGGGTTACCATTGTAATGGATGCCAGGCCTGCGGCCAGACAACAGTCTCCGGGGAGCACCTTTGGGCTTCACAGTCCAAGCCCACTGGCCATGACTGCAACCTCAGTAACAACGCCAGACACACACCCATTTACTGGATAGATCAGAGGAGTGTGTGTGCTCGTGCTCGGATATTTGTGGTTGTGTAGTTTGTAGAGCCGGGCGTAGTCATCAGAACCCCAGCCACTCTTACACTAGACTGAACACACAATGATGAGGACGGTTGAATCCTCTCCACTGTCCCTCCTTCCTCCCCTCTCCTCTGTCTCTTCATGTCACTATTCTCTCATACTCGACTCTCATTCCTTCGCTCTTTTGTTCTCTCCTCTTTTTTCTCTCGCTGCTGCCTCAAACTCCTGATTTTCTGTCACCGGGACTTTTATGTGTGTTCCTGTCACATGTTGTTATTTTTCGCCGTAAACAATTGGCATCTCTTTTGCATTAATTATTTTGTCTTCCCACAGTTCCAGAGCCCGTACTCCTATTCCCCTCCATTTCGTTTTGGGACAGTTCCCAACGGGAGCACGGAGCGCAACATCAGGAAGAACTATCCAGATATGCATCAGTACATGACTAAATACCACCAGACTGGTGTCCAGGACGCACTGGTCAGCCTCAAGACAGGGTAATGCCAGTGTGTCAAGCCAAGTCATATCAATGGAAGATTTATTATACTTGACAGAGCAATTCCATTTTGCAGACGGCACATATGCTTAAAAACACGTCAAAATAAACAAAATAAGCCATTGCATCAGACTGAAGCCCAACCAATGTTGCTTATGCTATGCTGCTGCAGTTACTCTGCAGAGTATTCCTGTCTATGACAGTAAAATGCACACACTGTTTGCAGAAACTCATTATAGTCTTTGCTGCTAGAAAGAGGTAGCTGCCAAAACAGCGAGTGTGTAATTTTCTCTGGATTTTTTTTTAACCTTTATTCTTCCTCCTAAATGCACACTAATAGAAGGATGGCTGCAGTCCTTTTATTTGTTCAGCTTTTTTGGGTGCTTCTGTCTTCAGGATGTTTTCTCCAGGCATTATTTAACTTATTTTACTTCTGTGCCCCTGCATTAATCACTTTACTGATGCGGCATGTTAAACAGATATGGTTTTGCAGCACCAAACTCTCTTATATTAGTTTTGTGCATGCAACATTAAAATGTTATTATGGCTGTGTTCACCCATATCATCAATGTTTCACCAACTTCATAAGCAATATTTATTGTTTTCAGAAAAGACAAGCCATTTTTATACTTTCTGAACTTAGATTAGTTTAAATATTGTTGTCTAATTATGTGCATAAAAAAAGCATTTGAATGAGGAAATGAATGAAAGATAATTTAGAATTATACAATTGTAAAAGAAAAAACAGTTGAAAAGATAAAACACATTCATTTAAATGATATCGTTGGTGTTCGGTTGAATTTTAAAGTGTTTTATATTCATTCATACTTGTCTAACTTAGAGGGCTGCAGGGTGTATTAATCCAATTATATAAACCCATTTTTTCCCATAATGAAGTTTTAAAAAATGATTCCTCTACAAATAGTGAGATATTACATTTTGCATACAAGTCTTATTTTTTAATATATCAGGCCCTCATTACCTCTGTGTCACTCAGTAATCGTGGCCCCTACAGAAATTCAGTGTCATGACAGCTTGTCATGACAGAAATATGACAAAACCTGCAATGAAAAGAGTGCTGCTCTATCTTTTATCTGCACGAGCACACAGGCTGGAAGAAAATGTTAATCTGCTTTGCATGAAAAATACCAGTTCCCAGAACACGTGCTATGTGAAATATCTAAACTGTCTGGCTGTGTAACATCTTTACTGCTGTTTTTTGTCAGTTAAATCTTTGGGTACAGTTTCTCATTTCGCTACCATTTGTGGAGAAACAGTAATCGTTTACTTGTTGTTTTTTTTGTTTTCTGAACACAAGAAATTAGTATATATTACAGAGGACTATTTAAAAATTCATTTGGCAATATAAATGCTTGCAATGACAAACGTGTGTATAATCATTATTGTTTTGGTGTATTTACTTTTGTATGTTATTATTGTAATTTCAGGTTTAAAATGAAATCAATGAGACAATCATTGAATTTTTTAAGTTATTATTCTTTTCTTAAGACATAGTGTAAAGGTCTTTCTAGAAATTGCTCCTATTAAAACACAACATTTAAATACAGTCATTCTTTCCTTCCCTGCAATTTGGAGGTGTTGTAATGTTGTTATGCCTGGCTCGGCTCAAATGAGTTGATGAAATAGCAAAAGCGATATCCATTTGTAATCTGCATACAATGGGAAAATCAAAACGTACAGTATTACCAAGGTGGGTAACGCCATAGATTAATTGTTCAGAGGAAGGAATTGCCATCCATCACAGAGCAAAGCAAAATTCACATAACAGTTTCCACTTTTATGACTGTTTGAATATGTGAGTTAAAAAAATGTCCTCTAAGAAAAGCTTATATTGTCCCCTCTGTAAAACCTAACATTGTATGGTTTACTTACAGAAAGCTTGATGCCTTCATCTATGATGCTGCCGTCTTGAACTACATGGCGGGCAGAGACGATGGCTGTAAACTGGTGACCATCGGCAGTGGCTATATCTTTGCCACCACTGGTTATGGAATTGCCCTGCAGAAAGGATCCTACTGGAAACGCTTAGTTGATCTGGCCATACTGAGCATCATTGGAGATGGTAAAGGATTTACACACGTCTACTTACCGTATCGTTTCAATCCTACAGCATTGAAATTTTAAGTTTCTAAGTTTGTTGTGGCCCATAGAGTGAACAATTGTGCCATTGCTCAGCTTTATTCTCTTCGCCCCTCTCCCACAACACTCCCCGATTTCTTCCCTCCCTCTGTTAGAAAGCTATCAGGGGCTAGTCTTAACACACCATTTCATCATCATTACTCTGTGTGGGTTTGTGCATGTGTGTGTCTGTGTGTGCGCCCACCATGTCCTGGTATGTTTACTCCTCCAGATTGTTCTGAATAATAAGCTGTGAGATTGTGCCAATGGAAGAAAGAAAATGAGCCAGACAGAAATCAAACTGCTGAAACCACTAAAGTTTTTTTTTTCCTACATTCCCCAGCCTTGTTATTCAGGGCAAACACCGTCCTGCCCAAACACACTGATTATGTTTTCTCCGATCTTTCCTTATCACTCCATCACTATCAATTCTTCGCCCTCCTCCCACAGCCGCTTTTTTTCACTCCATCGCCTGTTTCCTTTCCATTACAATCTATTTACCACTTCACCTCGCTCCCCCACTCCCTTCTCTCTCCGTAATGATATCCCCATTTTTAACGACACCTCCCTTTAGCTCTCTTTACATCTCTTTTTTTCCACATTTTCCACTGATGTCTCAAACTTTTACGTTGCCGATTTGTTCATGTTCCCAAAAGGTGAGATGGAGGAGTTGGAGGCACAGTGGCTGACTGGAATCTGCCACAATGAAAAGAATGAGGTGATGTCAAGCCAGCTGGATGTGGACAACATGGCAGGGGTCTTCTACATGCTGGCAACAGCCATGGGACTCTCTATTCTTACTTTCATCTCTGAGCACCTTTTCTACTGGAGGCTGAGGTACTGCTTCACTGGCGTCTGCACTGGAAGGCCTGGCCTGCTCTTCACTATAAGCAGGGTAAGTAAAAGATACTGATTTGATAAACTCTAAACTAACAAAAACTTTACATTTTCCTGTGAAGAACTATTTGTTAAGAAAAAAAATTCAAATGAGTGTTTTAATCCTCACAGCGTACATCAGTTAACATTTGTATCATATTGCCTATATTAGAAGGATTTTCTTTAGTTCTAACTGATGGTGGGGGCACTGACATTAATATAATGTAGGTGTAACAAAAAAATTTGGGAAAAAAAACAAAAGGTGGCCCTGGTCCCTCTTACTGGGTGGGCCATGGAGGTATGATATGATATGAAGATCATGATCATTACTGACATGTTGGAACACCCATAGCTCAGGCTGTAAAAAAACAATATCAGGACAGTGGAGGACAATTTTATGTAGTTTTCATGTAGCAGAGCTACACACTCTATCAAAAACATCAGAGAGATAAAAATTATAAAGGTTTTATAAACGTTTTATAGACAATATGTGTTGTGTAAATTGTCAACATGGTTACAAGCTGAAGCAGGAAAATAAAAACTTAAGTGGAACTTAATAAACAGGCTACAGGCCTCAGTGGTGTCCAGCGCTCAAAAAAGCAAACTTCTCAGAATATGCAACTTTTTTGTTGTGTTGTGTGATGTGTGTCAAAAACTTGCCTGATTATTACTGAACATAAACAGTATCAAAGTATGTGTGGGCATTAGTGACTCATCCCTTTAACAGACATAACTTTCACTGCCGAGAGTAAAAAAGAATATATGTGTGATAAAAGGGCAAAGAGAGAGATAGTGTGATTATAGTCCAGCCGAGGCAGAGATGAATTTACTGCTGCGCATATGAACTGCGGGATAGAGGAATCAAACTGCTAAGAGGATGAGAACATGGAAACACACTCACATAAGTACACACTTTTTCTTTCTCCCTTCACGCACCCTCACACACTCACAAGTGGGTTTCATAAAGTAAAAAAATGGTCACACACATGCTGGAAGGCAAGTTTGGGGACAGATCTTATCACAGATGGGCAGGCAGACACACACACACACATAAACCTAAATGTGCACACAAAACAAAAATGGACACCCTGTCAGACCACTCCTTCATTATTCATATATCATGCATCTGTGTTCCGGGGGGCGGGCGGCGTTTCACACATTTAGTGATTTACAAAAAAAGCAACAACATGTTTCTGTGTGTGTGTGTGTCTTTCTGCTGCTCCTGCTGTCGGGTTAAGTGGCACTAGAAAGTCCCTCCTCAGTGACATCATGACCTAAATTCAATTTTCTAGACACCTCTGAAAGGACGTCATCGACAAAAAATGGTTATTATCTCTTCTAGTCACAGAGCTAAACAAAATGGGGTTAAGGTTTGCAGTAAATGCTCTTGAGAGAACCTTAATTTAGCGTGCAAGGAAATTGGTCATATGCACATCTGAACTTTTTGGATGAAGTCACCGGGTTGCAAATTACCCTTGCTCCTCTATTACCTCTCTTTGCTGCCTCCTCCCTGCCCCCTAATTTCGTCTCCGTTTTAATGTCGTTATTTACCTTCCGCTTCTGTTAACAGGGTATTTGGAGCTGCATCCATGGAGTTCACATAGATATGAAGAAGAAGACTCCTGAGCTGGGTTTCAGTCCTCAAGCCAACATGTTGCACTTGCTCAAATCCGCCAAATCCATTGCTCTGTCTTCTCCCAAACGAAATACTGTCCTCTTGCAGCCTAGCATCCTAGACATGATGTCAGGGAAAGGTATTGTACTACTTTTGTATGTGAAACAACATACTTATTTTCATTTTTATTTAATTGAATTTACACACACACTGGTTCTCCACCAGTCCGTGACAGGTAGTCATATCATCTAGGATCAAGTGTTAACTAACCTTATATTTAATATACCTTTTCTATACATTCTACATATGTACAGTGTATACAATGGTTAGAAATGGTGTCCACACTGTAATGGAGTTGACCGTCATGTACAAGCCCACCTCATAATTAGAAAAGCATTTGACAGCAGACACTGTTTAAAAAATAGATAATGTCAGCATACAAGGCACCCATGGAAACATCTATCTGTTGTATCTGTTCTCTGAGTAGCTCCTCTTGTCTCCTAGGTAATTCACTCCATAGTCTGCCTCAGAAGGGTCCAGGTCTCTATAGCAACGCTGCTGGTCCACAGGGTTTCTTGTCATTGTCAGGGCGACACAAAAACCTCCTCAACAACGCAGCACCATTTCCGGGACAACAGAAAGTCCCTTCACTCCAGACCAGCCCGAGCAAGCCCCAGCTATCCATCACTAACGACAACGGCAACGGTCGCCCTCCCGGGCCGGCCTGTGCTGCGTCCAAGCCCCGAGCCCTGTGGAAGAAAAGTGTGGAGACGCTGAAGACGCAGCCAGCCGTCATATCGCCAGGCCAAAGCCCCACCCCGACATTGGCGAGCGCTCCTCCACCGATGAAGAGTCAGCGCTACTTGCCCGAAGAGCCGCAACCCTCTGACATGTCAGAGGCTTCCAGTCGGCCGCCATCGCACAAAGATTCCGACTCCATGGCAGCGAGGGGTGGATTTAAGCCGATCAATCAGCTCCGAAAGAGAGGCGGAGGCGGAGGTGGAGGATCCAAGATCTACTCCATTGACTCTGACCAGGCCAGCCTTCAGTCTGCTCCTCTGTACCAGAGAGACAGCCAGGGGGGAGGTGACGACCACCCTTACCCCCCTGACCAATTTCCCCTCGACAGCACGTACTCACACACTCATTCCCACCAGCCAGACACGCCCATTTTGCAGCTGAGCGCCACCCTCCTCCACCACAGTCACAGCGCCGAGGCGGACCTCCACTCCCTGAAAGACAAGAAATACAGCACCTACACACACAGCAGGTAGAGTGTCCGTCATGGCTGCGCACAAAATGCCGCTCCGGTAGCTGTTTCCTGTTGTGTGTAATCAGTGCTCTTGTTTCTCTCTGTTCAGCGTGAAAGAAAAGTCCGGGGGTTCGTTTGACGCTCCGGGTGCGGGCTCGGGAACACAAAGTGCCCGGCCCGGCCACTGCCGCACCTGCCTGACCAAACTCAGTGGTTACTCTGGCCTCTACACTGTTCGCTCCCCACAGGCTCGCTGCGATGCCTGCGCCCATCTGGGGAACCTCTACGACATCAGCGAAGACCACCTGCACTCGCACTACTCCCACGCGCACGCTCACCCGCACGGCGGGGACATGTTTACGCACTACCTTCCCCAGAGCGAGCTGGGCCTGGTGGGTGAAGGGGACGGGCTGGTCAGCCACTTCGAGCCCACGCCCTCCTCGCCGTCTCCCCTGCCCACCTCCTCATCTGCCCAACACCTCCAGCTGAGTCGTCAGCCCTCCTACGAGAACATGCTCCCTGACGGCATTCCGGAGCGACAGTCGCTGCCTCACTCCCACCTGCGGGGACTAAGCCTGCCTGACAGAGATCGGGAGAGGGAGCTGACCCTGGACGAGGGCGCCTATGCCAACGTTCTCACGATGCGCTCGGATCGTCCCTTCAGCAGCCGCAGCCCCCCGTCGCCGTCTCCCTCGCACCACCACAGTTTGGACGCCCCCATGCCTCTGCCACGGCGCTCGAAGAGTCTCCTGCCCGACCGTCCCTCTCACAACCCTTTCCTCCAGTCGGCCCCGGGCCCGGCACAACGAGATCCCGCCTCCCAGGCTGCCGCGCGCCTGCCGCAGAGAAGTTCCGCCCACGAGCTCTATAAGCAGCGGATGCCGCTGACGCTCACCCTGGGTAACCATGGCAGCCATCACATCAACCAGCATGGCAGCCATGTCGACCAACAGGTGTTCTACCCTCAGCAGGAGTCTCCTGTGGTGGCCTACATGGTCCCACCCGCTGCCTCTCAGCCAATGAGCTATGTGACAGCGCCGCGAGCCTCGAGCGCGGGCGGCAACCGTCCCCGGCTGTACCGCCGCATGCCCAGCATCGAGTCCGACGTCTGAGAGCCACAGGCGGCACACTCGCTCTCACCGAAGCCCACTAACACGCAAGCATGAAAGAAAGGAAGTGTGTGGACCAGGCAGCTCTGACCCACAGCACATACACAGAAACACACACACACTCACAGGTGAAGGACGGAAAGGTTTCCCCCGGACTAAAAGGTGATCCTCAGTACATAGATCATTGTGTCTTTATTGCACTTGCTATAGGGCAGGGATGGGGCCACGGGGACACCTGGAGGCACAGTGTAAGATGAGTGGTGTGTGCGAGTGTCAGTGTGTGTACTAGCCTCAAGCTGTGGGCAATGAGGCAAAAACTGACAATACATCTTACCAGACCAACGGAAGTCCTGGTGGAGTGGGAGGGACACTGTACATGAAGTCTAACACAGATGGTGGAATCTGATGGAGGACATGATGGAGTGCTTGGAAGACGAGCATACTAATTGATCAACCTCTTGGAGAGAAAGGGGATGACTGAAAATCCCTTTCTTTCTGAGAATACGTACATATATACACACACACACAGATACACAGACACCCGTTTCACCTGAACACATCTTACCCTCTCCAGGACTCCTCCTGTTGCACTATGATTTCTACAGTCAACCCACACGTTGTCTGAGCCTCTAAACTGCACTGCCAGCATGGCTTAAAGAGTAGTAAACAAGACTAAAGTAAACCTTGACTTGAATTGAAATGAATATCTATGTAAAAGATTAGGCAGGGACGCAGGCAACTGGTCAGGGTCCAGGTCTTAGAGGAGTATCAGCCCCTGCCTGCAGATGTACAAACACTGGAACACGCACGAAAACACACACAAGCGTGCTGTGTTAGCTTTTAGGGGAAAGTGAAACACTACCGACTGTTTGTTATTGTTGATGTCAGTAAATTGAACATTCCAAAAAGTGGTCCAAACAAAGCCTCTCAGGATGAGAGTGTGTGTTCTAGTGTTTCTAGATCTAGAGACTTACAGCTCAGCATCCTCGCTTCCTCTCTTAGCTCGCCTTCAGGTCTTACTGCATGCTTCCTACTGCCCTGTGTCACAGTTAAACTCCTATACAGGGTCTTATATGCGCACATACTCGCACAGACGCAAAATACAGTACATGCACATATGACACACACATGCATATGCACATAAGCAGTAGTCTAGGTTAGTAGATTAGGGTGGGCGTGTGTGTGTCGAGGCTATGAAATAGCTTCCCTTTGTGCACTTTGTAGATTTTATACCCTGCCACCTACACAGACGTTTGACCAAAAACAATTTTATATAGAAAAATATGAATAATCTCAGTCATTCGCAGGATAGATGTTTTCTTTTTCTCTTATTTCTCTTTGACTTTGGGTTTTTAGGGCACCATGAAGGGCACAGCTCTGTCAGTTTCCATCGCATGTACCAAGGTTTTACAGCAATTGATGAAGGATACAGCATCACACATGCAGTATACACAACAACAACTGTCATTGCTTTTCCTCTTGTTTTTCACTTTCCCTTTTTTTCATCCCTTCTTCAAGCGATTCGTCTTTCCTTTCATCTGGTTGTCCATGTTCATTCTCTCAGTTACTTATTTTGATTATTATTCCACTTTCCCTTATTCCTTCTGTAGAGTGAGATATCAAAGGGTAAATTTCAGTCGTGGTGTTTAAAAGCTCAACGTGTTCATGGAGATGACTTGCTGTCAGAAGCTGTGTCAGTTTTAACACATTTCTATGTAAAACACAAGGACTTCATCCTCCGTAGTGATTTGAACCGAGTGCGTCGCTGTTGCAGATTTGCTCGTCAGAATAACACAACCGAACCGCCGTTAGAGCTGTTCGCACTCGTGATGCTCTCCATTGGCAAGAACGGGGCTCTACATTTCAACAGTGTTTGTAAAGTGACGTTACAGGGATGGCACACACACATGTGCGCACACTACACAACACAGTGTGCGTGCAAGTGTTTGCAAAATCCATAATCTACTGAAAAGGGGCCCTGATTTCAGGGCACAAGGATTTTGATGGAAACAGGACTTGATATCCAATTAGCTGAGTGTCTGTCTCTGTTTTCTGTCTTGCTATTCTCTTTTTTCCTTTCCACACTCATGCACACACATTCATACAAACTGATAAGATGGTTGAAAAGATGGCAAGATGGTCTGAAACTAAAAAACACACTTCTGAATGGTGTTCGCTGCGCCTTTTATGGTAATCTTAACAGGTTTGTTGTGTGGGTTATATGCACAATATCAGGTTGCAATATTATACTTATGTACAGAGAAATCTTTGTTTTAAATGTTAGAAACTGATTTCATTTGTTTGATTTTTATTGGTATTAAGTATTGAACTCATTTCAATTACAACATGTTTTTTTCTTCAGCTTCTAAAAAATGACAGGCATGTTTTTAGATTCTTCTGTGATTTTTATTTTTCCCCTCTGATGTGTTTTTGGTTGGGACCTCACTGTACAGCCGTCACTGTTGGGTTAACGGACGAGTTAACTATTTGGGTCAGCTAGCCAGTTAAATAACTACATATTGCTGGATCTCTCATCCAAATCACACTCAATGAATAACGACGGTCCAGCCTGTGTGGTTAAAACAAAAGCCCCATCCCACCCACAGCGTTCTCCTCCACTACCAGTCTGTGCTGTTTCACCTTTGAGTGTGTGTGCGTGCGTGCGTGTGTGTGCGTTTGAGTATGTGTGTGTTTTACACTGTGCAAGCATTTATATA